TATATATATATATATATATTTAAATATATATATATATATATATATATATATATATAATCGATAACCATATCGATAACTATATATATAAATATATATAGAGAGAGGCCTATATATAGTGTGTGTATGGGTGTAAAGGTTGTAGGGAGTGACTGCCATTTGTTTTTCTGCGTATACGGCGTTTTTTGTCCCTGTTTTGTGGTTAGTGAGGGTTAGGATAGCGTTTGTCTTTTGTTTCACTTTTCTTTCGGGAAAGGGAAGTTTCGTCGGTACGCGGGTAGTTACTGTAGTTCCCCACTAAACATTGGACGTCGGATAGAGGTGCAGATTATGTCTATATTACTGTAGGTCCGTCAGTCCATGACCAATTCTGGACATCTATACAACGTCCAAACTAGGTCCACAATTTGAACGTCCATCCATGACCCAACTTGTACGTCAATATGACATTCAACATTTGAACGTAATTTTTTTGACGTTAAGTGGACGACTATGACAGGTGCAGGAAATATAGTTTTATTTACAAATATCAACATTGTTATTATCAACATAATAAATGTGAATACAGATTATTTCGAAACAAACATGATTAATTATGCAAATGCGTACGTATTTTATGTGCATTTGCGCTGATATGACAATAAATTATATCGTGCATTGTTTTTCCATGTTCGTTCTGAAAACCATGTGAAAACTGAGTACTGCAGAGCAGCTGTAACAGTTTTATCCACGTCCCTCGCGGACACTTTTCTGCACACGCAGAACGCGGGATTTCAAAATCTGGCAGCAGCTTGATGCCCGGTCGAACAAATTAACATCCAGCTTGCTAAACCAGGTTAATGCTAAATTATGTTTTTTACTTTTCATGATATTTTAGCTCTGTACTGTTCTGTTGTATACACTGTAGCACCTGCGGGGCTCATGTCCCAGCATGCCCCGCGTGCAGTTGTAAATAGCCATTGTTGTGTTGTTGCTGTTATTGTTAATAGGTAATTCCTTATTGTTGCGCATGTGTTTACTTGTATCTTGTGTGTACCCGGTCTGATCCTCGTGTGTAATTAGCTTACATAAATTTCCCACCGAGTATGAGTCTTACAGTTCGTTGTCTGACAACTTTGTGTTTCTTACATATAATTATGTTTGGTGCTCGTTGGGAGCCTGATATAATCCTTGAACGGATTATTAGTTGAGTGGGTGTTCGATCCCCGACAGGGTTGTCTCATAACACATAACACAAATTAATCCATAAATAAGTTGTAAAGTGTGATTTAGGCAGTGAACTGTGGGACAAAATTAAATGTACCGCAGTTGAATTGTTTGATTACGTGTTTCGTCACATTTAAAATGATGAAAATCCAAGGGGTGTGCATTATCCCCCAGAGTCCACTGATGAAAACACACTCCATAGGACATGGCTGTCTCATTTTGTTTTAGAGCTATTAATCCCTTGGTTAACAATCGCGCTATCAACCATATAGTAGTGCTTGACATGTGTTTCCTCCTACCTAACAAGCCCGTGTTCTCTGTGTATATTACATTTTTTTTTTTTTTTACAGTGTAGGTAATGACTGGGTAAGTGGCTACCCTCTTGACACAAAAGCAAAACATATTGATGATATTGTTTTCCTGGGTTGTCCCCGCCAGAAAATACTTGAACAAACTTGAAATACTTGAACTGAGAAAAACATTCTATTGCCATTGTTTGATTTATCTGTTGAATATGAGCTTGCCATGGCTGAAGTCTATGAGAGAGCAATTATTAGAGGGAAGGTTTTCGCAACTGAAAATTATGGAAAAGGGCACATGCATAAGTTACACTGTTGAGCTAAGAAATGGCTGCATTGGGGTGATTAAATCAATTGTTAACATCACCAAAAACAAAGCAAATAATCCACTGTTTCAAATTCAACTATTTCATACTGAGGTAGCCAGGTAAGTTGTTGTTGTCACGTCCGGGAAGAACAGAGCAGGCTGGACCCAGATGCAGGAGACCCAGAGGTTTATTGGGACACCGAACAACAGACAAGTCCAAAGGGGCAGGCAACAAGCGATGGTTGAGAAGGCAGGTAGAGGGTCGTGAGCCGGAGAGATCAAGACGGGCACACCAGGGAACACAGATGAAGCAGGGCAGGGATCAGGAAGACGAGGCGGGCAGGCAGGTCGGGCAGGGTAGGCAGGGCAGACGACGTGGCACAGAAGACAAAAAAGAGGAAGAATGCTTAGTAGGGCGCATGAGGGCAACGATACTTCGCAACAGTGGTTAGTCAGAGTGCCGGTTAAATAGATGATCGTCAGGAGGCTTGGTCACGTGGTCCCGCCCACCGAGGCGTGACATGTATCCAGTTGACAGAACTTATAAATAAGAACATTTAATTTAGCAGCTCATTGATAAATATCTTTCAAAATGTAATGATTGAATTAAGTAATGTTTATTAAATGCTATGTCTTTTGGATCTGGTATAAAAGTATTAAAATAATATTTATTATAAAATAGGCATTTTCTGCATTTGTGAAAAATGTATTGAATTTTTATAGCAAACATATTGTTGTTCGATCACTCAACAGAACCTTAAGTATGATTGTGATGTCCACAAATGAGTGAATTTGAAGAATTATACAAAATGTACAGAACTGAAATTACATATATTTAATTTGAATGCATCATTAGAAACAATTTATTCTCAGTACGAATTAACATTAAGACTGGTAATTCATATAGAAAGCAGCTAGTATATTGTAAGATCAATCCATTCATTTTCTGAAACTGCTTATCCTATTCAGGGTCAGGGGTGGTCCCATAAGAAATATATACATTTCCAATGGGACTGTGAATATTCTTATAGAACCAAACAGTTTTTCTATAAAGTCGATAGATTGTCCAATAGGATTTGGATAAATTTATTGGAATCCTAAAGGATTCTATTGGAAAAGGTGAAAATCCTAAAGGAATTTTTGACTAGGGATATTGTACCGCCGGCGGGATTTGCATATCATCTTGCCTCGCCGGCCATCATAAATAGCCCCTTGTGTGTATTTGTTACATGTACAGTTCCTGTGTTAGTCCTGTTCAGGACTGTAATAAAAATGTCATTCTCCTCTGCTAACAAGCCTCCTTATTCGCTGCTGCCGCGATGACCTTCCATCTATTACAGCATTGCGCCGATTTAAAATATTGCGCTGACTGGTTGCAGACTGGCCTAAATAACAGTCTAAAATAAATTTCATATGAAGTCGTGGGCTGGCATCCACAACATGTGTCAAAGCAAAATGACTACCTAAAAGACAATAGATTTGGGATTCTGTGACACTAAAGAATATCTTCTTTTGGTCTTTTCCCACTAATATAATTTGCATGAGAGCTGGAATAAACGTTTTTTTTAAGCAAAATGTCAACGGATCAACCATATTTATCGTAATAAAAATATAACAAATAACTTTTGTTTTGCACCTTCTACATGAAAATCAAAAATGCGTCACACATCTCGCTAGTCTGGTTTCTGTAATGTTTGGAATGTTATCCAATATACAGTAAATAACTGCTGCAGGTCCTTTCGCTTTATTCTCAGCGCGGTGCATCTTACCTGTCCGTCAGTATCTTGTCGGACACCTCATCGGGGGTGTGGCCTCTTTTTAGCGCGGAACACTCGACGAACAGCTCAGCTCGCCATGAGCTCGGACGTCTCTGCTGCTGCTCAGCCCAACTTGCGACACATGCATCTCATAAGTCTGTCGGCAGTCGCCAAAATGCTGCACTTATTCCATCACAAGAATATGCGTCGCATTGTTAAGTACCTCATATTTACCTCCTTGCTGATAGTCGGCTTATTCACAACCTACTTTTACTTAAAGGAAAACGCCGGTAACTACGGACTTGGTAAGTGCTGGATATGTGCTGTTTACTTTTTTCTGTCTGGAATCTTATTTACTGTCTCATTCAGGGAGGAACCTGTTATTCGAGAACAGTAACGAGTATAGAGTAAATTAATCAAAAGTTGGTTTTGTCATGGATGCGGGCGGCTCGGGCACGAGAGCGAGGCATGGTGCACAAAAAAAAAAGGTAAACGACCCACTTGCGGCTCAAAGAAAATCAAACAGGGCTTATTAAATAAAACAGAAAACACTAGAAACGCAACAAAACCAAAAGGACCACGAGGGGTCAAAAACTAAAAAGGGATTAACAAAAACTAAATAACAAAAACCAAATACACGTTGAACACTGAAAATATCTAAACCATCTAACATCCATGAAACAGAACAATGAACCACTCGTGAATTAAACAGAAGCAGGAACTAAAATACTAAAGGGGTAACGAGACTAACACAGGACAGGTGAGACTAATTAACAAAGACCAGGGAAACAGGGCACAGGTGAAACTAATAACTCAAAGGAACTAAAAACAGGGAAACTAAGAACTAACCAAGGAAACATAAACCAACACTAGGGAATTAAACAGGTAAAGACACAAGCAGGGGCACAAGGAACAAAACCAAAACCAACTACAGTGATTGGGTGGTTGCTAGCTGAAACCTCAGCAGAATAGTCTTATCTCCACTGGGCCGGCAGGTGTATTCATCAACAACAACAACAACAAAAATTATTTTTGTATAGCGCATTATCACAACATTACATCGTCTCAAAGCGCTTTACAGTATCCCCACCCAAAGCCCCCAGTGAGTAAGCTATAGGCGACAGTGGCAAGGAAAAACTCCCGAGAAGGAAGAAACCTTGGGAGGGACCAGACTCAAAGGGGGAGCCCATCCTTCATATACAGCCACGGTCAGAAGCCATAAGTAAATCATTCATTACTTTGACTAGAGCAGTTTCTGTGCTATGTTTTGGTCTAAAGCCAGACTGATATAATTCATTAGTATATTTTTTTTGTAGGAAAGAAGACAACTGACGAACTACAACCTTTTCCATGATCTTTCAAATGAAAGGAAGATTTGAGATAGGTCTATAGTTTCCTAAAACACTAGGTTCAAGATTTGGTTTCTTTAGAACAGGTCTAATAACAGCCATTTTAAAAGGTTTTGGAACATATCCAAGGTTAAGAGATGAGTTTAACACATTTAACAGGGTATTGCTAGTCTGCGGTGCAATTTCCTTGAAGAATCTTGTAGGAATTGGGTCTACGAGGCTAGTAGAGGATTTACAGGAGGAAATTAAACTCAAGAGTTCTGAGTGTTTTATAGGAATGAAAGATTCAAAGGTCTTATTATTGATAGGCATAAGACTAGCAGGAGGCTGGCAGCTGTAGGTAGCTAAGGATGTGCACTGGATGGTCTGTCTAATCTTAGTTATTTTACCATTAAAAATGTAATAAAGTCATTACTCTTAAGAGCTTGCGAGTCTAATGAAGAATTTTGTGTTAACCTAGCCACAGATTCAAATAGGAATTTTGGATTGGTTTTGTTCCTGTCTATTAATCTGGAGAGATACACAGACCTAGAAGTCACTACTGCTTGTCTGTATTTAGACAGGCTCTCTTTCCATGCAGATTTGAAAACTTCTAGTTTAGTTGAGCGCCATTTGCGCTCTAGCTTGTGTGATGCCTGTTTCAGTTCCCGTGTATGATCAGAGTACCAGGGGGCAGGTTTCTTATCTCTATGCTTTATCTTCTTAAGTGGAACTACAAGATCTAGTGTGCTACAAAGGGATTTTTCCATGTTTGCAGTCGCCTGTTCAAGTTCATTTATACACGATGCTTCAGATGTAAGGCTGAAGGACTGTGGAAGTTGTTTCATAAATGTTGTTGTAGTTAGTGAAGCAATGGAACGTCTGATTCTGTACTTTGCAGCTGTGGTCAACGGGAGGCTATATTGGATTTCAAACGTTAACAAGTAATGATCTGAGAGCAGAAGACTCTGAGGTATAATAGATACATGTTCCACCAAGATGCCATGACTAATAATCAAATCAAGGGTATGGTTACAGGCATGAGTAGGCCCAACTACATTCTGACATACACATAGAGAGTCAAGAATAGCTGTAAACGCTATTTTTAAAGGATCACAATCTTTCTCCATATGAATGTTAAAATCACCCACAATAACAGCTTTGTCAGTACTGACCACCAGGTTTGTTAAAAAATCAGCAAACTCCTTAAGAAAATTACTGTATGGCCCAGGTGATCTATACACAATAACAATGGTGATTTGGGGTGAAGAGCAAGAAAGAGATGAGCCAGCAAGGCTAAGAACAAGAGTTTCAAGTGTGCGAATTCCCCCTCGAATATTCGTTGTGTACCTTTCGGTTTACCGTTTTCAGCCCAGTATGTGCAATCACACACATACATTTATTGATACGGGTGAAACCTAGCTTTACAAGCAGATGTTCAACATGGAAAACATTATGCTAATCGTAGCTGTAAGCTGGGTATGGCTAATGTTACAGTAAAATCCCGTTATAACGGACTTTAAGGGACATGGCAAAACAGTATGTATGCCCAGAACACAACTACAGGACACAATTTACTCATGCCACACCCCAGCAGACACACTTGTGGTGTAGATTATTATATTGTACATGTAGTAATCCAATTTTACCTGATCAGATGTTTGACTATTAATAATCCCGAGTACGTATCTGCGCTGGATATCACCGGTACACCAGGCGCCTTATCGGCGAAGCTGCATGTCCGTTATAGCCGAACAAAACTACTGCTAAAAGCGGCTCTGGGGACCAAATTGTTTGTCCGTTATAAGCGAAATTCCGTTATATGCGAGTCCGCTATTTCCTTTGTTTTTTTCTGCATGTTCTTGAAGGCTCGCGACTGGGACCAGCGGACCTCGTCCGTTATAGACGATATTCCGTTATAAGCGAGTCCACTATAACGGGATTTTTACTGTAGTGATCGTCATCAGTGGTTTAGGGAACGTTTTTGATTTCCTAATAAATTACAGCAACACAGGAGAGATAGTTGTTGATGAGACTGAGAGTCTGTCAGCTCTTATACCAGACTTGTATATGTTGCTGGAAATACATCCAATATGCTAACTTATTTGAGACGTCATCATCCAAGTGTGTGTACGACCAGAGCAAGGCAGAAACAGCCTCTGCAAGTTAGTCTCCCCGTGGCTTCTAAAGACACTTTCACCAGTAAATTCAGATCAGGCTAAAATTCCTTAGGGCTTTAGGGGTGTTTATCTCTACAGATATGCAGCCATATTTGATTACATATCTGTATATTTAGATGTGACGTAGTCAGACTTGGGGAGTAACGGAATACAAGTAACTTTGCTATGTTATCTGGATACAAAAAATAAATATGTATGATTAGTCTTACTAGTTCTTTACTGTGTCTAGAGGGGGAAAAATGCCACGATGTTAACCTGATAATGTTCTATAATCATGTATGTACCGTATTTTTCGGACCATAAGACGCACCGGACCATAAGACGCACCTAGTTGTAGGGGAGGGAAATGAAGAAAAAAAAGATTCTGAACCAAATAGTGTCCTACAATATTTTACGTCAACCATGTACAGTGAACAGTAGTCAACAGCAGCATTAAGAACCATTATCACTGTTATTAACAAATAAAGTCAGTAAAAAACAATAAAAGTACAAAGAAACAAGGAGACACTTCAGTAACAAAAAACTTTCATGTGTATGAATGATCCATTGACACCTGGCCACATCCCTCGCCCCTTTTATGGCACTGATGGGGATGTATTTGGATCGTGTTTCACCGTTG